CCTCAAGTCAACCCAATAAACTAAATAAACAACCTCAAGTGTGTGTTAAATCCTCCAATCCCCAACCTTTCATTAGATATGTAATCTACTGTACGTTGGTTGACCTACTTCGCCCATTATAAACCGATGTTTATCCCTCTTTGTTTATTTGTACTACAATGAGGTCATCAGTGCACGACGCTAGCATCGTTTTGAAAGCAGTCCAATTTGGCCTATACTTGATGACCTTTCCAAGGACATTTATCCACGATATCGACAACTGCAGTCATTGACGATTATGGATTGCTTTCTATTTCCCGGTGTTTTGAGTTTGTGCGCCTAATTATACCCCCTGTGAATGGAGGAGGTCTGTTGCTGAAAATTTTGGAATGAAATTTTCAAAAGCCAGCGTAACTCTCTCTCCCTCTCAGGCTCTGAAGAGAGATAATAAACATCCCTATTATAAAAGCAGTCAACCGGCGAAGGAGATGCTCTAGCACTACGGTGGTGATCTCCGGTGTGATCATCACCACCAACCAGTCCGCATCGTGACCCGAACAACAAAAAGGTGATTGGCGTGATTATGCTTCATCCTGTATGCAAACCAGATGTAGGTGTGTGCAATCCTTGAACCCCTCCCCCCTGCCTCCCCAGCAACGAATCGCGTATTTCGACTAACGGACTTTGGGCTTCTCTCAGGCACACGGCGGATGTGCTGCAAAGAAGTAGAAAAAAAAATCAGGAGCGTGCAAACATACCGTGATATGGGCAGAGAGAGTGCCAATGCACAGTAGGAAGAGCCGAGGGCTTTGGGTGATCACAGAGGTAGGTGAGTAGATGAGCCACATACGGGACAGGGCGTAGGCAAAGATATTACCTAGCAGGGGACGCATGATGGCCGGGAGGGTTGGCCAGGGTGCGGAGCCCTTGCGACAAGCTTTGATCACATTGAGGACGCTCATTCCTATTGAGCAGACCCCGAACAAGACTAAAAGTGAGGTCAAGAGAAGAAGAAAAATGCAAATTGAGCTCCGGTACGAGTGTGCGCGAGTACATTCAGGTCATAGGCACCGCTTCAATCATGCTTCTTTTACATAGAAAAGCAATGAAGTTCACTGTAAAAATACAAATCTTACTCATTTGAACAGTCGATAGTTGGAAATTGAGGTAATGAAGGGGCTATCGGCCCAGCAAGGACCCAAGATACACAAACAAGGAGAAAAACAAGATATCTAGTGACAGCGATTGTTTTTCTGTGCAAGCAGCTAGACCACGTGGTCAATCTCCACCTACCTTAGTAATTTGGCAGCTAGTTTTAATCACGACTTTGTTTGCACTAACTTGGCCGCTAATATTATTGTTGCAATTGTGCTAACGTTAACAATACATATCCAACTAAATGAAATAAGTAGACAAGTCACATAGCACCTAGGTACGGTTACATACCATTAAGTCACACATAAAAGGCAAAATAAGTGAGTTTAATCTGACGATCAGACTAAATAATAAATGATGGTCGTCTCCACCACGAAGCCATTAAAAATTAAGTTTTCTATGGAGTTGATTGGAAGCATCAGTTGGTAAATGCAGGATTAACGATCATTTGCTTATGAAATGATAATCGGTTGAGGCGAATATTCGCATCTCAGGTGTGCGTATAGGTAAAGAAGAAGGCATGTCGATAACTGGAATCATGGTTTTTATTCGTCTGAGCTTTTGAACTCTTATCGTAATCCACCGTCAGAGATAAAAGCGTCAACGAAAAACAAGCAACAGTTATAGGGGACAGGGGCCAATCAACCACCAGTGACGTCAGCCTCAAGATGAGTGCGCAGGGCGATGTATGCAGACGTCGGATCGATAAATCGATTGACTGAGTTCTCATCCGAGGCTCAGGTTTCAATCAATTCTCGGCCTGTTTTGCTGCCGGCGTGGGCAATTATCTTCGCGGCTGAGAAGTTAAACTGCTGGCCCTTTTTCGTAGATGTGGGCAGCCACTTGTGATATACCGTCACTCCGTCTTACGGCCAGCTTACGTTTATGTATGCGCGAACTAAGCATGTGTTCAGTCTGTCCTGTGTAATTTCGAGGACATGGTATGCGATACACTACACCCGACTGCTCACAGAGATTTAATCGGTCTTTGATTCGCATGACCCGGCTACGCATGGTAGCTTTGGGACGGTGTGCAACTCCGAAGCGTAGTCCTGCAGCACTGTGCTCGGTCGCTTCCGACACGTCCTTGATGTATGGCAGTGCATTCCATACCGTACGGGCTGGTTCTGTTTGAGTCCTCGGAAAGCGAGCACGTAGGCATCGGCGTATGGAGGTGCAGCTCTGTGCGTGAAAGATTAGCACCAACATTTGTTCAAATTGTTGACAAAAAACGAAGGCGCATGGTGAAAAGGTGGCAGCATGTCCGCATGGACTGTAGTCCGGGACGATTGGAACACTTCGGGACGCGTGCTTCAATGGTTCTTCGCAGACGAACGGCGTGGCCGCGAAAGAC